ACTGTAGTGTGCTTCATGGATATTGTGGTTTTGGGTTTGTTTTTACATACTGAATGTTTGCAGCAAGTCTGCCTCGAGGGTGTCTACCGCTGCCACGCTTTCAACACCTGTGCTCCATCTGTGTCTGAAATGCTCTGGTAATTTTCATGATACCTTCACTTTTTCATGATTATCACATCTGCGACGGTGACCTGTGATCAGCGATCTTTGACGTTAGCACTGTAATTGCTTTGGGCACCATGAACCATGCCCACATAAGACAGCAAACTTAACTGATAAATGTCACGTGTGTTCTGACAACTCCAGTGACCAGCCGTTTCCTACTCCCCTCCCTCTCCTGGGACTGCCTATTCCTGAGACAACAATATTAAAATCAGGCCAGTTAATAACCTTACAATGGCCCCTCTGTGTGCAAGTGAAAGGGAGAGTTCGACATCTTTCTTTTTACATCCAAAGCTGGAAATGATCGGGTTTGTGAGGAAAGCATGGTGACAGCCAAGGCAGCTGAAAGCCAGCGTTAGTCAAAGCTGTGAGGGCAAAGGAAAAGCTCTTGAAGGAGATTCAAAGTGCTACTCCAGAGAACACACGAGCAATAATAAAGCAAAAACAGCCTCGCTGCTGACATGGAGAACGTTTCAGCAGTCTGGATAGATCAAACCAGCCGCAACATTCCCTTATGCCAAAGCCTAGTCCACAGCAAGCCCCTAACTCTCTTCAATTTTATGAAGGCTGAGAGAGGTGAGGAAGCTGCAGAAGAAAAGTTGAAAGCTAGCAGACGTTGGTTCACGAAGTTTAAGAAGCCGTCTCCAGGCCGGGCCCGGTGGCTCATGCCTGTAATCCCAGCACTTTGGGAGGCCGAGGTGGGTGGATCATGAGGTCAAGAGATCGAGACCATCCTAGCCAACATGGTGAAACCCTGTCTCTACTAAAATTACAAAAAAATTAGCCTGGAGTGGTGGTGCTCCTGTAGTCACAGCTACTCAGGAGGCAGAGGCAGGAGAATTCCTTGAACCCGGGAGGCAGAGGTTGCAGTGAGCCAAGGTCACGCCACTGCACTCCTGCCTCGCACCTGGTGATGGAGCGAGACTCTGTCTCAAAGAAAAAAGAAGCGATCTCCATAACAAAAAAGTATAAGGTGAAGCAGCAAGTGTGGATGGAGAAGCTGCAGCAAGTTGTTCAGAAGATCTAGCCAGGATCAGTGTGAAGGTGTATACACTAAACAGATTTTCACTGTACACTAAACAGCTTTATATTGGAAGATGTCATCTAGGACTTTCATGGGTACAAAGGAAAAGTCAGTGCCCGGTTTCAAGGCTTCAAATGACAGGCCACTCTCTTGTAAATTAATGTGGCTGGTGACATTGAGTTGAAGCCAATGGTTATTTCCCATCCCCAAATTTTTAGGGCCCTTAAGAATTATGCTAAATCTATTCTGCCTGTGCTCTATAAATAGGTCAGCAAGCTGGATGACAGCACGTCTGTTTACAATGTGGCTTGCTGAATATTTTAAGCCCACTCTAGAGACCTACTGCTCAGACAAAAAACATTCCTCGGCCAGGCATGGCGGCTGATGCCTGTAATCCCAGCACTTTGGGAGGCCGAGGTGGGTGGATCATCTGAGGTCAGGAGTTTGAGACCAGCCTGGCCAACATGGTGAAACCCCATCTCAACTACAAGTACACAAGTCAGCCAGGTGTAGTGGCACATACCTGTAGTCCCAGTTACTCGGGAGGCTGACACAGGAGAATCAGAAGAATCACTTGAACCTTGGAGGTGGTTGCAGTGAACCGAGATCACATACGAGTCTTGCACACGAGTCTGGGCGACAAGAGTGAACTCTGTCTTGAGAGAGAGAGAGAAATACATTTAAGGTTATAGCTACTATGGTGATTTGTCTGATGGATCTGGACAAAGTAAATTGAAAATCTTCTGGAAAAGGGTCACCCTTCTATTTTGAGGTGGTCAAAATACCCACATCAACAGGAGTTTGGAAGACGTTGATTCTCACCCTCATGGATAACTCCGAGGGTTCAAGTCTTTAGTGGAGAAAGTAACTGCAGATGCAGTGAAAAGAACAAGAGAACTAGAAGTAGAGGCGGAGCCTGAAGAAGGGATGGAATTGCTGCAATCTCAGAATCAAACTTGAACAGATGAGTTGCTTCTTATAGATGAGCAAAGGTTGTTTCTTGAGTTTCTTGACATAGAAACTACTCCTGGTAAAGATGCTAAGAACACTGTTGAAATGACAACGAAGGATTTAGAATATTATACACACTAGGCAGGGCATATGTTATGCCTGTTGTCTCAGAGCTTCGGGAGGCCATGTTGGGAGGATCCCTTGAGGCCTGAGATTAGCCTGGGCAAGTGAGTGAAGCCCTGTCTCTATAAAATGTTTAAAAATTAGCTGGTTATGGTGGCACATACCAAACTACTACCTAGGAGACTGAGGCATGAAAACGACCTGAGCCCAGGAGCTTGAGGTGACAGTGAGCTATTATCACGCCACTGCGCTCCAGCCTGAGCAACAGCCAGCCTGCTGCTACTGTAGCCTGTCCCCTCCCTTGAGAGGCCTCTATGGCTGGGCCTCAGCAGTGGTCCCAGCAGCGGTGGCCACCCCAGCATCTGGCTGTGCTTTTTTACCACGGCTGGGGTGTATGGCTGCCCTAGATGCATCCCCTCCCCACCTTCAAGTGCACCCCGCTCACCCCTTGTCACATATCCACATCTCTGTGAGGACTGTTCCTCTTGCCCATCTCTCAGTCCAGAAAACACCCACTTCCCTGCAAAGCCCCAGTTCCGCTGCCAGGCCCTCAGGACCAATCCTCCCTTCTTTTCCCTGCTCCTCCCCTCCCTGCTGTGCTGCGTTCTTCTCTTTGGTGGATTCCCATAGCACCCGGGAGGCACCAGCAGAGGATGCCTTGGACTGGACTGTAATCCTGTCACTCATCTGCAAAGCCCATCCTGCAAGCTCCCAGAAGGCACTGCTGACCCCTGCTGTCCTTTGTCTGGCCAATGCCTAGCATGTGTCCAGACCCGATGTCGCGGACGCCCGGCTCTTACCTTTTGTTGACCTCATTCTCCAGCATTGATTTGTCTACCATGATGATCTGCTCCAGGATCCTGATGTCCACGGAAATAAGGCTCAGAGAGAAGACAGTCAGGACGGCCACACAATTTCCCCCAAGGCCGTCCAATGAAAAGGCCACCATGTCATTCGTGGGCTTGTTATTATCCTGGTCTTTGAAAGAGAAACGATCAGGCCGATCCAACTTGCTGGCAGCTCGCATTCTGTCCAAAAACTGGAATGAATCCGTACAGATGGTGCTTGGAAACCACCACGTAGAAATCCTACACAGACAAAAAGGAAGGGCCTGGGGGTGGCCATGGGAAGCCTTCATTTGGACAGGCTATGAGCCCACCAAATCATTGTGGTGAGAACGACGTGAAACGCCCCACTTCTCCCCTAAAGCTCTCTTTCCCATCCCAAATGAAGGCGCTGCGTTCCCAGCTGGCAGTGTGTGTCTCTTTTCCCTGCCTGCCTGAGCATCTTCCAGGAAGAGTCCTGTCTCATCTAACTCAATGTGGCCTTACGCGGCACTCCAGGAGGGCGCTGGCAGGCTCACCTCACCAGTGCTCACAGTACACAGCTGCTGAACTAGAGATGGTGAACATGCTTTCTGTAACAATCTCCGTACAAAGCCAGCCCTGGTCTCATATAGAAAGCAGGGGACATGTGTGCTTAAGCTCGCTGTCACAATTTCATAAGCCTGGTGAGTCACTTCCCTGGCTCTGTCCAGGGAGCAGCATTCCATGACCCTGCTACCAGGGTTAGAGGGAGGGACCCAAGGGGCCTTCCTTGTTTGCTGGCCACTACCCTCGGTTCAGATGGGGACATGCAGTCAGAGCGGTGGCTCTGTGACAAATGGCCTTGTTGGACTCAGACATGTATCTTCTGCTGTGAAATCTACTTTCCAGAGGCCGAAGGGTCATTCAGGGTGAGGGTTTAGGGAGGAGAAGGTGTCTGCCATCACAGGGCAGGGATGGGATCGAAGAACCGAAAGAAGATTCTCGGTGTTGCTTCTGAGCATCTGACTATAGCCCCGTGCTGACTGGAGGTTAGGCAAGGAGAATGGCGTGAAGGGGAAACCATCAAGCTGGCAGCGTGGGAATATTCTCAGGGGTTTCCTCTGCATGTGGTCAGGAGGCTGATGATACCACACCTGCTGCCACACGAAGCCACATTGCAAGAACACTTCAGGAGGAGGCCTGTCTGAATGCACCTCTGCACCCCAACCCTGCACCAGCTGCTGGTGCTGCAAATGGGCCTGGGAGGCTTCCTGGGTCCTGGGGCTACACGGAAGAGGGACTGAGGCTAAGCCCGACCAAGAGGGTGGACTTCCAGCCTGGCTACTTATTAAATGCAAAACGGATTTCACACCACTTGATGAGAGAAACAAAAATAAACTAGAGGCGGAAAGTCTGCAAGACAGCGTGGCGAGGGTGAGTACGGTTCTCCGGCCGGTCAGGGTATGTGGATGCAGAGGCTGTGACCGATGCTTTACAGAGGAAGTGACAGACTGGGGGAGGCCCAGGCTGGCATGTGGCGTGTGGTAGTGTGTATGTGTATGGGGGGGCTAAGGAAGTCTGCAATCCCATGTCTCAGACCATCACATCACACTTCCACAGACCACAAAGGACAGGGAACTGACGAGACTGGGTTTATTCCCTCCAAAGCCCATTTATTTTGGATACAAAGACAGAGGAATCAGCACAGAATCAACTGGTTGACCCTGCTGTCCCTTGGCCTCCCACCCAGCCATCAGTACTTCGGGTTGGCTCTACCTTCTAGTGCATCGAGTTCGTGCCACCCGCCCTGGCCCATCTAGTCCATGCCACCGCTGTTTCTTACCATCGTTCCCAGCTGACTGGTCTCCCTCCTTCCACACATCACCTCTTGCTAACCCTTGATCATTCTCCACAGCAGCCAAAATCATCCTCTGATGCCTAAGTCGGACAACACATTCCTGCCCTGCCTGAAACCCCCCAAGGACTTCCCTCTGCAGTATGCGACAACAACCAGTCCTTTCCAAGGACAGGGAGCACGGTGAGTGGGGCCCACCTGCCTGCCACTCTGGCCTCGCCTCCTGCAACACCACCCCTTACTCACTGCCCTCCAGCCTCCTGGGCCTTCTTACATGTCTTGGAAAAGCCTAGGCATCCTACCTCAGGCCTTCACCCTGCCACTCCCCTAAATCTTTGCAGGGCTGATTCCTCAACATTCAAGTCTCAGGCCAAATACTTCCCCTCTAACAAATTCTTCTCCATTCTTCTCTGTGGTCAACTGCCTTGTATTATCCTGTTTAAATTTCTCCATAGCAGCTACCTGCAATGATCTCATCTGCTTACTTCTTGTTTAGAAGTCCCAGGAGAACACAGATTCAACTCTTTTTTTTTTTTTTAGCCAGGCTCTGACTTTGTTGCCCAGGCTGGAGTACAGGGACAACATCATAGCTCACTGCAGCCTCGACCTCCTGGCTCAAGCAATCCTCCTGCTTCAGCCTCCTGGGTAGCTGGGACTACAGGCATTATGTCTGATTAATTGCTGTATTTTTTGTAGAGATGTAGTTTTGCCATGTTGCCCAGGCTGGTCTCGAACTCCTGGACCCACGCTGTCATCCCGACTCAGCCTCCCAAAGTGCTGAGATTACAGGCATGAGCCACCACGCCTGGCCTCGATTCAACTCTTGCTGCTGCTACCCAGTGCCTAGGCAGAAGAAGGTGCCTCTGCTGGACATGCCATGGTGACTTCATGGCTCAGCCTGCTAAGTCTTGTGGATCTTGGTCCCACCTAGTGGAAGAGCAGCTCAAAGTACTGTGTGGTCAGCAGAGTCTCTATTCCTCCAAGCTTCTGAAAAGGACAAGCAACCAGCAGTTCCCGAGTATCCAGCATCTGCCAGCTTCTGAAAGCGCTCCTACAGGACTGTCTCCTCAAAAGCACCGGCCAAGAAAAATCCCTGTCATGGTCTAAGGATTTTAGGTACTTCCCAAGAACCCTGAGTGCCAGAGGAGGCTGAGGCACATGGACTTTAAGTGGTCCTCCAAGGTCACACTGCCAGGCAGGAGTGGAACTGAGGAGAGAAGATCAGCCTCACCACTGCACCTTTCTTTCAGCGGAGGGACACAAGGGGACCGGGGACTAGCATGGTGGTCAGCTGGGGCTCTGGGGCAGCACTCAGGTGTTCCCCAGAGCTTGCCTGACTGATGCCTGTGCAACTCTGCTTCCTCTAGACAGCAGCCATGCGTCAGTCCTGGACATGCGGACCATTAGGCCTTATGGGGAAACACTCTCCATGTGTGGACGGCAGAAGCTGGGAGTGGCCATTATAGCATCATCCTTTTCCAGAGCACTGGAGAGAAGCTGCATCTCAGTCCTTGTGACAAGCCTTCTCTGACTCTGCTCTTCTCTTCCATTTGAATGTAATTAGTGAATGGGTGTATTCTCATACAATGGGATAGGAGTGCTCAGGCCATGTGTGGGTAGTTGGGGGGTGTGGTTTGCCCATTCATATTTCCAAGAGGCTGGGCTGTCACAGGCACAGTGAGCCATTCTGCGGCCTTCAACTGGCTTCCCAGAACCTTGAGATCCTCAGGGGCCTCAAGGGGACCCCTATGGGGCTCTGACATTGCTATTGGCCTTCCAGTCCTCACTCAGGAGCCACTGAAGAAGTCACTAAAGAAGTGTCCTGCTTCCTGCTGGGGGAGGAAGGCCTCGCAGGCTAGGTGGTCTTTCTCAGGTGACTTTCCACGCCCCTGGGGGTCGAGGCAGAGTAACTAGGCCTTCGGTACTACACATCAGAGCCCAGATGTCACTTGGAGATGGAACTGGAGAAGGAAAAAGCAGTGGGATAATATTGGGGACAGGCCTGACTGGAACGTAGAGGGTGTGGCTTTTGCCATGGGACTGGGCTTTCTGGTTAGGAGGTGGGGTACAGTGAAAAAGATCCCCCTCACATAGCCAAGTCAATTCTAAGCAAAAAGAACAAAACGGGAGGCATCACACTACCGGACTTCAAACTATCCTATGAGGCTACAGTAATCAAAACAGCATGGTACTCATACCAAAACAGAGATATAGATCAATGGAAAAGAACAGAGGCCTCAGAGGCAACACCACACATCTGATTTTTGACAAACCTGACAAAAACAAGCAATGGGGAAAGGATTCCCTGTTTAATAAATGCTGTTGGGAAAACTTGCTAGCCATGTGCAGAAAGCAGAAACTGGATGCCTTCCTGACCCCTTACACTAAAATTAACTCCAGATAGATTAAAGACTTAAACTTAAGACCTACCACTGTAAAAACCCTAGAAGAAAACCTAGGCAAAACCATTCAGAACATAGGCATAGGCAAGGACTTCATGACTAAAACACCAAAAGCATTGGCAACAAAAGTCAAAATAGACAAATGGGACCTAATCAAACTCCACAGCTTCTGCACAGCAAAAGAAAGAGTCATAAGAGTGAATCGGCAACCAACAGAATGGGAAAAAAATTTTTGCAATCTACCCATCTGACAAAGGGCTAATAACCAGAATCGACAGAGGGCTGATATCCAGAATCTACAAAGAACTAAAACAGATTTTCCAGAAAAAAAACAAACAAGCCCATTCAAAAGTGGGCAAAGGATGTGAACAGACACTTTACAAAAGAAGACATATATGAGGCAAACAAACATATGAAAAAATGCTCATCATCACTTGTCTTTAGAGAAATGCAAATCAAAACTACATTGAGATACCATCTCTCGCCAGTTAGAATGGCGATCATTAAAAAATCTGGAGACAACAGATGCTGGAGAGGATGTGGAGAAATAGGAACACTTTTACACTGCTGGTGGGAGTGTAAATTAATTCAACCATTGTGGAAGACAGTGTGGCGATTTCTCAAGGACCTAGAAATAGAAATTCCATTTGACCCAGCAATCCCATTACTGGGTATATATCCAAAGGATTACAAATCATTCTACTATAAGGACACATGTACACGAATGTTCATTGCAGCACTGTTTACAATAGCAAAGACCTGGAACCAACTCAAATGCCCATTGGTGATAGACTGGAAAGGGAAAATGTGGCACATATACACCATGGAATACTATGCAGCCTTAAAAATCAATGAGTTTGTGTCCTTTGTAGGGACATGGATGAACCTGGAAACTATCATTCTCAGCAAACTTACACAGGAACAGAAAATCAAACACCACATGTTCTCACTCACAGGTGGGTGTTGAACAATGAGAACACACAGACACAGGGAGGGGCGCATCACACACTGGGGTCTGTCAGGGGGAAATAGGGGAGGGACAGCAGGGGGTAGAAAGTCGAGGAAAGAGAGCATGGGGAGAAATGCCAGATATAGGTGATGGGGAGGAAGGCAGCAAATCACACTGCCATGTGTGTACCTACGCAACAATCTTGCATGTTCTTCACATGTACCCCCAAACCTAAAATGCAATAAAAAAATCCCCAAAGTCCCCGCCAGCTCTGAGCCCCTAATGAGCAGAAGAGCTGGAAGGCCCACCCCAAAGCCAGAAGTCAGAAATTTGGACTCCTATGTGCAATGTTGGAAGTTAATTTGAAAACAAAATTGTTTTTTACCTTTTAAACAAGTGTGAGACCAACAGAATGTGGTCTGTGGACTGTTTATTTGGAACTTCTACCCGATACCATGTATGATTTTCTCTGCAAGTTCAGGCTCAGACAGAACTTTGCTTTCTTCATCTGCAAAATGCTGGGGTGGCAGAGGGGTGCATGGCACTGATACTGGCCTTCCACTTCAAAATGTGTATCCTTGGCCGGATGTGAAAAACAGGCATGAGGAAATAAAACACGAGGCATGGCAAGCATATGGAGGACATTTCTTGGGTTTCTCTGATTGATGGTCCCACGTGTCCCTGCAGGAGGCACAGAGACCCTCCAGGTGATGACTGAAACAGGAGAGATCACAGGCACACTCAGTCTTGGGTGTGCTGAGGCCTGGCCACAGCTAAGACTAGGGCCAGGGTGCTGCTCTGAAGCAGGGCATTTTCCTGAACCAGCTCCGTTTCCCCCCGTCCTCCCTGACCCACTGTGGCCAAAGTAACAAGCACGTGCCTGGGAATGCAACAAGCACGTGCGGTCCCCCGCAGGGTTGACACTGCTGTTTCTGCAAGGCTGGCCCATGGGCCCCTTCAGGACTGGGGGCGGTGGCACACTCTTGTCAGGGCCCTACTCTGCTGCTCCTAACTGGAGTCTCTGATGATGGGGCTTGGGCTCCACATGCTACAAGATCTCTCTGTGGACTCCCAGGCACCCTAACCATCGGGTCGTCAACCATCCAAACTCATCAGTGGGAACAGAAAAGTCCCTTTGTTTTCTTTTTCTTTCCCCTCATATTCCCAATCAGGTCGACTTGTTAATGTAAGCCAGGAGCAGATTTTTAGGCTTAGAGATGAAATGCAAAATGAACGGATCCTTAGAACTCACTTTTGCGATGACGGGGGAGTATGAGGCCCTGGGTAGCACTGGCTGGGGCCCCTCAGCACCTCTCTGTTGGGGTCCTTGGTGATGACTTAGCTGTGCGGTCTCAGGCGTATGATTTAACTTCTCTGAACCTCGAGTGTCCACATTTGTAAAAGAGTAGTAAGAGCACTGACTTCCTATGCTCCACCGGGGGTGTGATACCATTTCCCTTCCTCACTGTCATCTTCCTTCAGCCACACTAGAGCAGCCTCAGGGACCTGTGTCCTTGGGAGACAGATGACTCAGTGTCCACAGGAAAGGCAGCTTTCCCACCCAGTGACCTACCATGACCAGAATATCTTGGCATTCACAGGTGATGATCTGAAAAGCTCAATTACTCTCTCATTTCTTTTGCCACGCCTCATTTCCTCTCCTGCTTCGTTTTCTGTCTTAAACATTAGACTTAACAACTTCAGCTCTGGGAAGGATTGTGATGGTCACTGGACTAAAGAGAAAGATGAGGAGAAGCTGGCCAAGGGTTGCACACCTTCAATTCTATAAGATGCTGAGCCCTGGAGGCTCACAGCTGGGTAATGACAGGTGACAGTTTGATGCTCTACACCTGAAATGTGCCAGGAGGAGAGATCGCAAGGTGCTATGTTGGGTGATGGATGTGCTAATCAGCTTGACTGTGGTGATTATTCTGCAATGTATACAAATATCAAATCCTCTAGTTTGATATGCCGTAAACATACACAATAAATACAAAGAAATAAAAATATAAACAATAAGAAAATAAAGTCGAAAGATGTGTGGGCTGGCATGTTGGGGGAATCAGCCCCTGCTAGCCCATGGTGGAGACCAGCAGGGGCCAGCACCTCATGAGCCCGGCCTGGGAAGGGCCCATGTCCCCACTGTGCTGCCGGGCAGCCGGTACCCACCTGGGATGACTGGTAAGACTTCATCTGACTGTCCGAGAGGGCCAGCGTGCTCCGGATCAGGTTCTGGAGCACCAGAAAGTGGATGTCACCCACACTGAAAGAGAGGGGAAGGCGGGGCACCATGAGGCCATGAGCCCTGCTCATGTCGGGCGGATGCAGTTCTCAGGGAAGAAAACTTGAATCTCACAAAAGGGACACAAACACCAAAACTATTCACAAAAGAAAACACGATAAATGACGGTTTCTAGGCTTTACTAACAGGTCACGTTTTTGCAGGAGAAGAGTTTCTATTTAGTGGATAAGGGGTGACCTCCTGGAATGAGTTTACATGAGAACTAACAAACATGGTTAGTACTTCTCGTTTCTTTCCCTCTAATTCTAAACAAGTTTTTTTCCAAGAAAAAATGTTTCTCACTGAAATACAGAGCTAAAATCAAAGTGACTGTTGATTATCCAAGATGGAAAAACAAAACCTGAGCTTTTGGAACAGAGTTTTGCTTGGAAGGCTCATGGGTTGGGAGTTTGAATCCTTTCCTCAACCTACCTTTAGGCTTGGCCAGTGATACTTCAGGCCAGGGGGTGAGAAAGTTTTCCTCTAAAGGGTCCAATAATACATGTTTTAGTCGTGGTGGGCTCTATAGAATCTGTCGCAACTAGAGCTGACCCTTCTGCAATGCGGTCTCAACTGTGCAGATTCCGCTTATATATGGACTTTCTTTCACCTCTGCCAGTCTGGAAGCAGCAAGATCAACCCCTTCTCTTCCTGTCCCTTCAGCCTACTCAAAATAAAGACAACAAGGAAGACCTTTAAGATGATCTGCTTCCCCTTAGTGAAGAGTAATTAGATTTTCTCTTCCTTATTATTTTTTTTTTTGAGAGAGAGTTTCATTCAAGTCATCCAGGCTGGAGTACAATGGCGTGATCTTAGCTCACGGCAACTGCCACCTCCCAGGATCAAGCGATTCTCCTGCCTCAGCTTCCCGACCAGCTGAGATTACAGTTTCCCGCTACACTGGGCTAATATTTGTAGGCAGGGGTTTCACCATGTTGGCCAGGCTGGTCTCAAACTCCAGACCTCAGATGATCCGCCCACTACAGCCTCCCCAAGTGTTGGGATTACAGGTGTGAGTTACCTTATTTTTTCAAGTTCCTTTTCTCTAGCTTATTTTATTGTAAAGTATATAGAGAGCACAGTATATAGTACATATACAAAATATGTATTTATCAACTGTTTGTTATTGACAAGGTTTTTGGTCAACAGTAGACTATCAGTGGTTAGGTTCTAGGGAGTCAGAAGTTCTATGTGGGGCCAGGCACAGTGGCTTTACACCTTATATTAATCAACTGTTTGTTGTTGCTAGGCTTTGGTCAATAGTAGGCGATCAGTGGTTAAATTTTAGGGAGTCAAAAGTTATACATAGGGCCAGTAGTGGTGGCTTACACCTGTAATTCCAGCAGGTTGAAAGGCCGAGGTGGGTAGATCACTTGAGGCTAGGAGTTCAACACCAGCCTGGCCCCACTGCACTCCAGCCTGGGTGACAGAAACAGACTCTGTCTCAGAAGGAAAAAAAAGTGATATGTGGATTTTTGACTGTACAGGGGGTCAGCATCCTCTAACCCCCAAATTGTTCAAAGGTCAACTGTACTCACCTCTGATGTTCTCACATAAAAGCAGCATAGACAACGTATAGAATGGGCATGACTGTGTGCCAGTAAAACTCAGTCTGCCCATTGGATTGGACTGACTGGTTTTGTAGTGGGGTAGATTTGGCCCTAGAGTAACAGGCCCAGTGCAACGGGTTGTCAGCCACCAAGTTAAGTAGCTGAGGAAAAGCGACTCTACATACCAGCACTTGCCTGTTAAGTTCATCCTCTTTCCTGGTTTGATCTTTTTCATCCCCAATTGCCAAAACTCGGTACCTGCAAAAGAAACATAAGAATGTGTCCATGAAACAAAGCAGCTCCTCACTAACCAAGCGGATGCTGGTTCAAGATGGCCATTTATTGGCTCAGGTGTTGGGAAGGGGAGAAATGTTAAACGCACCAAAAGTCAAGCGCTGTGCATGTGCATTAAACAAGAATATACCCTGTTCTGCCTGTTAGAAAAAGGAGGGCTGGGAGATGTGAAATGTTCACTTACTGACAATTATGTGGCAACACGAAAAAATGTGAACTGGCGAAGGTCCACTGTTAATTGTTAAAGAAACAGAATTTAAAACTGCGAGTGTGTTAGAATACAACACAAACAAACAACAACAAAAACAAGCACAAGGAAGAAGCCTGGAAGAAAATGTCCTGGAAATAATCTAAAAAGTCATTCTCATAGAAATAGGAAAAAGGTGGTTTCTGAGGCTGGGAAGTGGAAGGGAAGGAATGAAGAAAGGAGAGAGGCTGCGGAAAGGCTGTAATCTTAGACCAGAGGAGTAAGTGTTAATGCTCTAAAACTGCATGGTGACCGCAGTTACAGTTTGAAATTACTAAGTAATAGATTTTTAACATTCTTCTTGCCAAAAAAAGAAGTTGCTGAGATGACAGATATGTTGGTTAACTTGATTTCGTCTTTCCTCAATGGACACATATATCAAAACATCACACTGTACCCCATAAATAGACAAAATTATTATTTATCAATTAAAACAAAGAAATATGAAAATCCCCAAAGAGTAGCTCTGTCTGTTATACAACGGGCCATCACCAGTATTATCATCCGGACACCATCTCGATTGTTGAAGGAAATAATCTTGGTAGATGATTTCAGCTCAAATGGTGAGCAACATGATAAAGAATAATTGTAAAAATTATCACTTGTCATCTGTGCTTGGCTGGAAAGAGGTTTGGCTTAGAGTTTATGACACCCTGGGTTTCTCTTGTAGGGAAAACAAGAAGATTATTAGTTGAGGGTCTATTTGTGCTAGCCACATTTAATCTTCACAAGTCAAGACAGAGGATATTATCTCAATTACACAGATGAGGAAACTAAGACTTTGAGAGATCACACACTGTGCTTAAACTGGACTGCAAGCCAGTGGCAGAACTGGGGGTTAGGCCAGGACTGTGTGTCTCCAAATCTACCTGCACACCTCCCAGTCACCATGAAGGAGACTGTGGGGTGAAACAGAGTCTAGAGGAGGACCCCAGATGCCAGGAAGGGACCTGGAGTTGCTCCTTCTGAGGTATAGACCACTCTTCCTGGATCACTAAGCCTGAAGAAAAGAGAGCTTTGGGTGCTGACTCTTCAAAATGGTAACAGCTCTTGCCCACAGGGTGCCCCCTGCCCTGAGTCTAGCCCACCCAAGGAAGAGATGTGGAAGACAGTGGACCTGAGTCCTCATTTTCTGAGTTCATAATCCAGGCTTCTCCTTTATAAGTGTTATGTCCTTGGGTAACTCAACGTCTTCATGCTCTGGCTTTCTTTCATACACTAAATATGAAATGTTGATAATGACTGTTTTATGAACTATAGTGAGAATTAAATGAGATCATCATGGTAGCTAACATTGCTTGTTCTAAGCACCTTATATGTGTTAACTATTTTCATCATTACAACCACCCTATGAGGAAGGAACTACTTTTTGACCCATTATACAGATGCACAAAACTAAGGCATGGACTAATGAAGGAACTTTTTCAATATCCTGCAGCTGGTAAGTGACAAAATTGAGATTTGACCGTGAACTTCAGAGTCCTGAGCCCTAGTTCTAACCACTATGTTCCTATTATAATACATGAATTATGGGCCGGGTGCAGTGGCTCACACCTCTAATCCAGCACTTTGGGAGGCTGAGGCTGATGGATCACAAGGTTTGAGACCAGTCTGACCAACATGGTAAAACCCTGTCTCTACTAAAAATATAAAAATTAGCCAGGCTTGGTGCTAAGCACCTGTAATCCCAGCTACTTGGGAGGCTGAGGCAGGAGAATTGCTTTAATCCAAGAGGCAGAGGTCGTAGTGAGCCTTGAGTGCACCATTGCACTCCAGCCTGGGTGACAGAGCGAGACTCTGTCTCAAAACAAAAACAAAAACAAAAACAAAACCCAAAAAAAACATGAATTATGTAAAGCATTTAGCATTTAGCACATGGTAGCCTCTCACCAAGTGTTGGCTCTTAGTTTTATTGATTTTGTGCAACAAATAAAAGAGAGCAGAATTAAGTTATGAAAACTTAAAGTAGAGGTTCGGGCTAGCAGTAAGGAAAAGTTTTCTGACTATGAGTGCTATGAAGTGGCAGCTCCTTGGAGGCAGAATATGTTCCTTCCCTGGGGATCCGTAAGTACAAGATAGGTTATTGTACTTTCAACCTGTCTCTCAGGAGAGAGAACAAACAAAATGATTGCTTAACCTTCCTTTTTAGACTTCCACACTAAAAACGCTTACCTTCATCCTTTGCATACCTTCCTCTCTTGTACTTCCAATGGAACTAAACAAAAAATAAGAAGGTACAATTCTTGGAGTAAAATTCCACTGAAAACCAGAGAAAAGAGACAGGCTTCATTCACTTCTGGGCATGGAGACTGTTAGCAAGTTGCATACCTGGTTTTCCAAGCCAAAAATAGGAGCTTGATTAGAAAGACCTCTGCCCTGGGCTTCTGAAGACACTGGCTCTGCTCCCTGGCAGAGACAACCTTAGGCAAGTCCCCTCACCTCTTTGGGACTCAGGGTCTTCATGAGGCAAGTGCAAGGGTTGAGCTGGAATACTGTGAAAGATATATTTTTCTGTGAAAAAAAAAATCAACTTATACCTCTGTGTTCCATGGGGTATAGATATGACTTAATTTAGGACTTTTTCCTGTGGAACAATAAAATAAAAAAAATCCAACATTACAAACATAGGGTGGACACATAAAGAAAAACCAAGGCCACGTGCGGTGGCTCACACCTGTAATCCCAGCACTTTGGGAGGCTGAGATGGGTGGATCACGAGGTCAGGAGTTCAAGACCAGCCTGGCCAACATGGTGAAACCCCATCTCTAAAAAATAAAAAAATAAAAAAAAAAGAAAGCTTTCTTATTGTTCTAAATTGCACTCCATCATAACACACTCTTTGGGTCTGAAGCCAATTTGTGTTTTCCACAGAGATGATTTGTTTGGATGGTCACAGAAGAGGGGACTGTCAGCCATTCTCTGGTGTTACAGGGACAGGAATTAGACAGTCTCTCTCATTAACCACGGAAACACCAGCCAAATTGGGCCTACACCAGGCACAACTCGAATATCTGTTTTATGTTAAACAGGAAAATAAATGGAACTCTCTAGTATGCATGTCAAAAGAGAAACTCACTATGCATGTGAATGTGGGGGCAACTGACTCAACCACTTCAAACCTCAGTTTCTGCACTTGTAACATCAGGAAATAATGGTGTCTACCTGGTAGGGCCAGTTTTGGGATTAAATCATGTGCGTAAAGGGCTCAGGAGAGAGCCTGTTCCCATTACATGCTAGCTAGTATTCTGCTCCTCGCCTATGGCCTATCTCAGTATTATTTGTAGCACTTTTGAAATGCCACAACCTGGTGCCAGAGCTTTGCCTGTTTTCTGTCTTTCCCTAGATGTTAAGCTTTATTCACATCACTCAAATGTTAATGCCACTCACATGTTCGGTGAGATCTAAGCTTTTTAGAAATTAGATCAAGGTAGGTGGAATGCTGTATTTTCTCCCTGATTTTAGGAAAATGACACAATCAACAACTACATGTTGAGTTTCTACCATGTGCCGGCACTAGGCAGGGAAAAGGATGTCATAGAGTTCAAGAAGTTTCCATGTTAATTAATGAGGCAAGACCATCTGTGGAAAGATATGTCAATGTGTGGAGAATAATGTGACAAACCTGGTGAACTGTCAGTGAGCATCAGAAAGCACAGAGAGGGGGGTGTGATGATCTAAGGAGGCTTCCTGGAGGAGATGGGCTTGCATTGGGACTTGAAGGCTTCATAGGGCTTGAGACAGCAGAGTAAATGAAGGACAACTCAGAAACTGGGTTGGGGTGGAGAACTAGGGAATGCAGAAAGAACGGTGTGAACAAAAATGAGGAATCCAGAAGCCCCGTGAGCTGACCAGCTTGAAATAACAGGTTTGGAGAAGAGACCAGCAGGAGAGCAAAGCTGGGAAGGAGCATAGGTTGTCTTCAGAAGACCTGTTGAGGCATCCTTAATTTTTGCGCTATATGATAGGCATTATTTCTCAGGAGGTGACTCAGAATCTACGATCATAAAAATTTGGAGTTGGAAGGATCCTGAATATCTGGTACTTTTGTTGAGTTTATATATATATATATATATCCTTTTTTTTCCCTAAGAACAAGTCAGAGTTTTACTCTGTTGCCCAGGCTGGTCTCGATCTCCTGGGCTCTGGCAATCCTCCACCTTGGCCTCCCAAAGTGCTGGAATTACAGGCATGAGCCACCAAGCCCACCATGGTACTTTTTTCTTAAGTTGAGAAAACAGACACATCTAATGGGCAGTGACACAGAAATATGTAGTGATCAAATTAGAATCTAGATATTCGGGTTCAGTGGCACCTCCTGTGGATTACTGAGTAAAAATAGTGTCTGTGTAGGTATACAGACTGGCCGCCTTGGCTACCCCAGCTTACTCCCAGAGGAAGCAAACAGACTTAGACATAGTAGCTCTGTTCAGCACCTTCAATAATTGAGACAATCACTCTTGAGTGCAGCAGATCTAAAATGGGGCAAGTTTTACTGCCATAGTCACGTGGGTGCCATAATCACTGTAGGTCTCACAAATATGCTCTTCTTTTGAGAGAGGGGCCAGCAAGAATCTCATTCCTTGGTTGTGAGATTCTATGGGGAGAGAGGAGATGGAGGGAGGACTTGATAAACCCAACCAGGTACTCACAGAGTTCTTGAGACAATGTGTCCTGGTGGCTAAAGACAGCATAGGCTCATGTCCAGGGCATGCCACTCACTAGATATGTGACTCAGAAAAGTTTTTAAAACTCTTTGTGCCTCAGTTTCTTCATCTGCACAGTGGGGATATTGTAGTGTCTACCACATGAGATTCTTTCAGAATTAAATTAATCGATTTTATCAATGAGTAACTCAGGGTCATACTGCTCAGTGATTTGCATTCAGGTTTTTTTCTTACATGTGAGGAAGTCAGCGGTAGGCTGAGCCAGGGAGCAAAGCCATAGACAAGCTTTATTAAAAGAGAGGGAAGAGAGAAAAGAAAACCACCTGTAAACAGTCCAGGAATAGTGAATCGTGTTTGCATAATTTTTGAGCTAAACTCACTAGCTAGAAGCTGGCAAAGAGATTAATTTGTGCATTCTGTCCCAGTTGGTCCTTAAGTAGATCAACTGGAAATATCTAAAACAAAACAATTTTAGTCATTTATGGATTTTCCAGAAAGTCTTGAGAGTTTAGTTATGAAGATGTTCCAGGCCTTCCTGCAGTGTTTTCCATCAGCCTCTGTACCTTAGTTAGGCTAGGTCTGTCCTACTCATTCTCTCAAGAACCTCTCAATGTTAAGAAGCACCTGTGACAGTGCCTAACAGGTAGTAAGCAGTATTATCATTCTAAGATAGGTTAACTGTGAGGGCAAGGAAATTAGGAACGATCACAGTACACTTCAGGTGAAAGCGAGAAGAGAGGCAGGCACAGAGGAAATACTACTATTCTAGTTGACTCTTAGAATTGCCCATTTTATGCTGGAGATAGTCCAGCCGCTATTATGGAATAGTATAAAACTTCTGCATCAAACTGATTATTGCACTCAGATTTCTATAGGTGTGCACTTGGTTGACAGGACTAAAGGTACACTTGGATGAGAAGATTAAACTTTATAACCAGAAGTGTCCAGGACCACTGAAAATAATATGACACCCTGAGAGGGAAGGTCTTGCTCAAGCCCGTAACAGTGGCTGGGAAGCTGCCACAGCAGATGTGGTCGCCATCTTGGACGCTCACATTGAAGTCAATGTTGGATGATAAGGCTCAAGGAAGCTGATTCTTCTGGGAAGGGCAGACAGGAGATCTTGGGCATGTATTAAACACAAGACAGAATACTGTGGACATAGGGAAAGTCAGCACCACACCTTAAACAAAGGGAAACTCCAAAAGAGCATGCTTTTATGCAGGCATTTTGCTTGGCTAAGAGAAGCAGCATGGTGGAGAGTATCGACAGTTAGATCATAACTCTGACTGTCAAATACTTTGTGAATTTGAATAAGTCACTTCACTTAACTAGACATTGTATCTTTAACTGTAAAGATGAAGAGATTAGCCTTTGTTTATTTTAAAGATTTTTCCCGAGCCCTGAAATGACACGATATGATCAAGAGAGCTATGTTCTTTAAAAAATGTGAAGAATCAGACAGGAAAGAAGCATCATTTTGGAAGCAGGGAGAACCAAGAGATAACATAAATTCAAGGAGAAATATAAATACTGATAATCCTGCTTCACAATGCCTGGGGGTGCTCCTTGGGTACTAATTTCAAACCTGTTCTTGACACGGGTTGGCTGCTAGCAGCCTCGGCTACCTCAAAAGGTACAGAGATTCTCTGGACTCTGCAGAGTTCTACTCACAACTTAGCACAGCCTAAATGGAGGAGGTGCTCAATGTTAGGGCAAGGTGCTTGGAGCAGCTTGCTGCACGCTCTTCTTCTAGGGCAGAGCCAATCTTGGCTCGGATTCAAGAAGACCACACCGTGACTGTGTCTCCTGTGTTTGACAACATTCATTTTGACACCTTTGAACTGGATAAGTATCAACTGGCAGCTGATGGGTTTAACTGGAAACTCTGGTGCCGCTACGATGCACTGCCCCAAGCCTGGATTGATCTGCATGATGTCACTGCCCCAGTGAACTAAGTCTGAGCAGGTTCAGGGAACGTGGGTAGCACCTGGGAAGGTGGGGATGAACTGCATGGATTTTGTTTATCTTTGGTGCTAGTAATTGGGGTGAGGAAGGGAGGGGTTGAGGTAAAGGACAAGGGATAGAGGGAAAAAACTCCAATGAGTTATCCCAGTGAAGAAATCACAGACACACTGGGCTATTTAGAGACTTTCAGGCAAAAGTCAAGCCTTCATAGCTTGCTAATCAAGCCTTCATAGCCTGCTAATGCTTGGCCCAAATTCTTTCTAAAATTTAAAATTCTTTTAGTCATTTTAAAATGAAAATGTCCCCAAATTTAAAATCTTGGAAAGCATTTGGGCCATTTCAAGCATTAGCAGGCTATGAAGTAAGGATATCTAGATGAAAAAGATGTAATTTCAATGTATTTTGAGAAGGGTTATGATAACACAGTGGGCCAGGGAAAGCTACATGCACTTAGTCCAGCCTGAGGGTTTAGGGAAGGCCTTCATGATAAGAACAGACTTAGATAGAGTTCTGAAGCCCAAATAATCATTGAGCATCCCACCCCTCACCTCCGTTCCTTGTGGAGAGATTAGTGACTCTTTCTGTGTGCTCTGTAGGAGTCCTTCAATCATGGGCATCTTCGCTGCTAACAGGCTCTTCCTGGGAGAGATCGGGTCTCTGGATGGTGGAATGCTCATCTATGGAGGAGAGAATGTGGAACTTAGCCTAAGGGTGGCTACATTTCCTTTCACTTTATTGGACAAAGTAGAAATGGGAAATGGAAAGGTAGAAGGACCCCTTGTTCTAGGATTCTGGAATTGACTCAAGGTGGATACGGTCTCATGTTTCCAAGTGACGGGACCAAGGATGGAGGCAATGGGACTTCTGGAGGGGACACTCCTGATACAGCCTTTATAATCTGGGAGGTATGGTGGGAAGCGGTCAAGCTGGGATTGAATCGATGTCCCTATTTCACTTGAGGACTCTGGGCACTTTCCAAGTATCTCCTGGGATAAACCAACCTTGGAGAAGACAACTTTCTAGAAGGCCAAAGACAGCAGAAACAGGAGTGGGCAACATGCTCAGGGAATGCAGATGTGTGGGCAGCCGACCTGCTTCTGTACTGAGCAGCTGACATGATGGCCTGAGTGTGTGCTGAGATATAGTCTAATCTAAGACAAATAGTCAGGTTTTTATCATCATATCACTGAAATTCTCAAACCCAGCCAGTCACAGTGGCTCACACCTGCAATCCCAGCACTTTGGGAGGCTGAGGCAGGCAGATCGCTTGAGCCCAGGAGTTTGAGGCCAGACTGGGCAACATAGTGAAACCTTGTCTCTGTTAAAAAAGCAAGAAAAAGAAAAAACAAATCCTCAAACCAGTGCTATTTCTGACCAACTTTTGTGTGTCTGTAAAAATGTTGGCTTCATGCTTCAGCAGTGATGCCACTTGTCTGCCCCTGACAACTTCCCATGCTTGTTTAGGTCAAATGGACAACCTGAATTAAAAGTAATTTAATTTTAATTTTTTTGTGAGTATAAGTGTCTATATTTAGGGCATGCATGTGATGTTTTGATACAGGCATGCAATGAATAATAATTGTGTCATGGAGAATGGGGTATCCATCCCTCAAGCATTTATTATTTGTGTTACAAACAATCCAAGTATATCCTTTTAGTTATTTTAAAATGCAAAATTAAATTATTATTAACTGTAGTCATCCTATTGGGCCATCAAATAGTAGGTCTTATTTGTGTTATTCATTGTTTGTAACTATTACTTTTGTACCCATTAACCATTCCCATCTCCCCCAACTACCTTGTAACGATCCTTCCACTCTTTATGTCCATGAGTTCAATTGTTTTGATTTTTAAATTTCAAATGTCAATACAGTGAATCGGCAACCAACAGAATGGGAAAAAATTTTTGCAGTTTGCCCATCTGACAAAGGGCTGATATCCAGAATCTACAAAGAACTCAAACAGATTTACAGGAAAAAAACAAACAAGCCCATTCAAAAATGGGCAAAGGATATGAACAGACACTTTACGAAAGAAGACATATATGAGGCCAACAGTCATATGAAAAAATGCTCATCGTCACTGGTCATCAGAGAGATGCAAATCAAAACCACATTGAGATACCATCTCACTCCAGTTAGAATGGCGATCATTAAAAAATCTGGAGACAACAGATGCTGGAGAGGATGTGGAGAAAAAGGAACACTTTTACACTGTTGGTGGGAGTGTAAATTAGTTCAACCATTGTGGAAGACAGTGTGGCGATTCCTCAAGGCCTTAGAAATAGAAATTCCATTTGACCCAGCAATCCCATTACTGGGTATATATCCAAAAGACTATAAGTCGTTCTACTATAAGGACACATGTACACGAATGTTCATTGCAGCACTGTTTACAATAGCAAAGACTTGGAATCAACCCAAATGCCCATTGATGATAGACTGGATTGGAAAAATGTGGCACATATACACCATGGAATATTATGCAGCAATCAGAAATGATGAGTTTGTGTCATTTGTAGAGACATGGATGAATCTGGAGAACATCATCCTCAGCAGACTGACACAAGAACAGAAAACGAAACACCGCATATTCTCACTCATAGGCGGGTGATGAAAAATGAGAACACATGGACACAGAGAGAAGAGTACTAAACACTGGGGTCTATTGGGGGGAAATGGGGAGGGCCAGTGGGAGGTGGAGGTGGGGAGGGATAGCCTGGGGAGAAATGCCAAATGTGGGTGAAGGGGAGAAAGGAAGCAAAACACACTGCCATGTATGTACCTATGCAACTGTCTTGCATGTTCTGCACATGTACCCCCAAACCTAAAATGCAGTAAAAAATTAAAAAAAAAATTTATTAAAAAAAAAAATTTCAAATGTAAGTGAGAAATACAGTGTTTTTCTTTCTGTGCCTGGCTTGTTTCACTTTACATAATAATCTCCAGTTCCATCCATGTTGTTGCAAATGACAGAACCTCATTCTTTCTTATTATAGCTGAATAGTACTGTATCGTGTATATGTACTACATTTTCTTTATCTGTTCATCTGTTGACGGACACTTAGGTTGCTTGATTGAATCCTTTTTCAGCATCAATTGAAATGATCACATGGTTTTCGTCCTTTATTCTGTTGATATGATGTTTCACACTGATTGATTTGCATGTGTTGAACAATCTTTGCATCCCAAGGATAAATTCCACTTGGTCATGATGAGTGACCTTTCCAATGTATTTTCGAATTCAGTTTGCTAATATTTTGCAAATATTTTGTGCCAATATTCATCAGAGATATTGGCCTCTAGTCTTCCTTTCTTCTTTTTTCATGTGTCTTTGTCTGGTTTTAACATCAGGGTAATATTGGCCTCTAGAATGAGTTTGGAAGTATTCCCTTCTCTATTTTTGGAGAAGTTTAAGTAGGATGGTATTAGTTTTTCTTTATATGTTCAGTAGAAATCAGCAGTGAAACCATTGGGTCCCAGGTTTTCCTTTACTGGAAGACTTTATATTACAGCTTTGATCTCATTATTTGTTATTGGTCTGTTCAGGTTTGGGATTTTTGTTTTCCTGGTACAATATTGAACCAGGTTCAACGTGTCTAGAATTTGTCCATTTCTTCTAGATTTCCCAATTTATTGGCATATAGTTGCTTATAGTAGCCACTAATGATCCTTTGAATTTCTGCAGCATCACTTGTAATTTTTCATTTCTGATTATGTTTATTTAGATATTCTCTTTTTTTCTTAGCCTTGATAAAGCTTTGTCAATTTTGTTTAACTTTTCAAAAAACCAAATTTTTGTTTCTTTGATTTTTTTGTATTTTTAAATTACAATGTTATTTATTTCTGCTCTGATTGTATTATTTCTTTTCTATTTTTTAACATTCATTTTAAGTTTGGGGGTACTAGCGCAGGTTTGTTATATCAGTAAAGTTGTGTCATGGGGGTTTATTTTACAGATTATTTCATTACCTAGGCACTAAGCCTAGTCCCCATTGGTTACTTTTTCCTGCTCTTCTCCCTCCTCCCACTCTCCACCCTCCAAAAGGCCTCAGTGTGAGTTGTTCCCTCTTTGTGTCCATGTGTTCCCATCATTTAGTTTCCACTTAAATGTAAGAACATGTGGTATGTGGTTATCTGTTCCTGTGTTATTTTGCTAAGGATAATGGCCTCCAGCTCCATCCACGTCCTTGCAAAGAAAATGATCTCAGTTTTTATGGCTGCATAGTATTCTATGATGTATATGCACCACGTTTTCGTCATCCAGTCTATGATTGAGGGGCATTTAGGTTGATTTCATGTCTTTGCAATTGTGAATAGTTCTACAATGAACATACACGTGCATGTGTCTGTATAATAGAATAATTTGTGTTCCTTTGGTATACACCCAGTAAAGAGATTGCTGGGTTGAATGGTATTTCTGTCTTTAGCTCTTTGAGAATCACCACACTGCCTTCTGCAATGGCTGAGCTAATTTCCACTCCCATCAACAGTGTCCAAACATTCTTTTTTCTTTACAACCTTGCCAGCATGTTATTTTTAAATTTTTTTCTTTTCTTTTTTTTCTGAGATGAGGTCTTGCTCTGTTGCCCAGGCTGGAGTGCAGTGGTAGGATCTTGGCTTACTGTAACCTCTGTTTCCCAGGTTCAAGCAATTCACCTGCCTCAGCCTCCTGAGTAGCTGGGATTACAGGCGTGTGCCATCACACCCAGTTAATTTTTGTATTTTTAGTAGAGACAGGGTTTCATCATGTTGGCCAGGCTGATTTCAAACTCCTGACCTCGTGATCTGCCTGCCTCAGTCTTCCAAAGTGCTGGGATTACAGGCATGAGCCACCATGCCCAGCCAATTTTTTGACTTTTTAATAATAGCTACCTCACTTCAAACTATACTACAGAGCTACAATAACCAAAACATCATGGTACTAATACAAAAACAGACACATAGAACAATGGAACAGAATAGAGAACCCAGAAATCAGACTACACACCTACAACTATCTGATCTTCAACAGACCTGACAAAAATAAGCAATGGGGAAAGGATTTCCTATTCAATAAAACTGCACTGGGATAACTGGCTAGCCATATGTAGAAGATTGAAATTGGACCCATTCTTTACACCATATACAAAATTAACTCTAGATGGATTAGAAACTTCAATGTAAAACCCAAAACTATAAAAACCCCAGAAGACAACCTAGGCAATAGCATTCAGGACATAGGCATGGGCAAAGAGTTCATGACAAATATGCCAAAAGCAGTAGCAACAAAAGGAAACATTTACAAATGGTTTCTATTAATTATTTTCTATTACAATTTTAGGTTTGGTTTGTTCTTGCTTTTTTAGTTCTCTAAGATGCATCATTAGATTGTTTGAAGTTTTTACTCTTTTTGATGTAGGCACTTACAGCTATAAACAACCCTCTTATACCGTTTTTGCTGTATTCCATAGGTTTTGGTGTGCTGTGTTTCCATTATCATTTGCTTCAAAAACTTTTCCAATTTCCTCCTTAATTTATTCATTGACTCATCAGTCATTCAGGAGCATATTGTTAATTTCCATGTATCTGTATTGTTTTCCAAATTTCTCTTGTTATTGATGTCTGGTTTTATTCCACTGTGGTCAGAGAAGATACTTGCTATTATTTTTATTTTTGGAATATTTTAGGACCTGTTTTGTGACCTAACATATGATCCATCCCTGAGAATGA